TCATACATACATACATACATACATACATACATACATACATACATACATACATACATACATACATACATACATACATACATACATACATACATACATTTGTGATGGAGTCTCAAGTGTTAATTTTGTTTAAAAGTTGGTTTACAGTTAATTTTGGCAGAGGGGAGGGAGGGGTGTTTCTCCACTTTCATAAGTTTCTTTTTATCTTTGCTTTTATGCTGGAGGGGTGGGGGTGGGGGTAATTTGTGTTTTGTGTATCTGTTCATTTATTTGCCTTTTCATGGACTGGTGTATGTCTATTCAAGAACAGCTTACCTTTGGTAAACGTGTCTCCAGTGGTTTTCAGTGGCCATCTCCGCCGGTCTTGTTCAGTTTACGAACTGCTTGTTCCAGCTTCTTTTCCAACTTCTGTATTGCTGCTTCCGTTGCATTTTATACATTCCTATGATTTAAATTAAATCTATGTGTCTCTTTTTTTTCTTTTTATTGTGTTTTGTTCTGTTTTGGATCATGCTTGTTCTTGATTGTGCTTGTAAATTGTATTTGCTTTGTTCTATGCATATGAGTGTGTGGGGAGGGGGGGGAGACGTTTCATCTACAGCTGCTCAGAACTCGTTGTATAATGTTTGCTTCAGTAAGCTTGGGAAGATGGACACGATTACTTATAGCATAAGTGGTCTATACACAATACAGATCAATTTATTTTTCAGGTTAATTATGTGTATTTACCAGATTAATGTTATGTTTCTTCTTTTGTTTTGCTTTCCAGTCACCGAGTCGTAAAAGGTACCAGTTCAAGATACGTTTTTGAAAGGACAAGAAGCGCACAAACATTTTAACAGTCATTTATAATCCGTAAGTATTTGTGAGTATGGAGTAAACATTTTGTCCATCTCTATTATTAGATCCGAATGTTTTCACACTGTATGGCATTCCTAGTCGAAAAGCAGAACTACGCAACACTACCTAGCTCTTAATAAAATGTCGATGCCAAATGTGGTCGCGGCATGTATGTTGAATATTTTTCTTGCAGCTTCAAAGTTGTTGGATTTTTAAAGGCATCCTTATCAATCGAATTAATCACTAAGCTGTTTGTTGTTTTGTTTTGGGATTTATTCAGAAGGGGAAAATACATTCATCTGTTCAAGCCATCTTCAGCAAACTTAATTTATATATTAGTCACATCAAACTCTCAAACTTGTCAGAAATACGCAGGTTTTGGACCATATCAAGTAGAATAATAATGATAATAAAAACGACGAGGGGGCTCTCGTACGGTGTTTGCGCCTCATTCAATAGGTACCGGGTTCGAAACCTGATAGCGACGGAAAATGTTCTTCTCTAAACGTTCCCCCTTTCACCACCTTTCCTGTTCTCTAAACAAGTTTCATCTCCATTTTCTCCCCCCCCCCCCCC